CTTCACCCGAGATGATCTTAAGATCGTTTCATATATTAATTACATTTCGTATACAAAAAGTTACATTCATATTGATTTTACTACGTAAAATTTAGTATAAGAAAACAAAAATATGGATCCTAAGTCTAGAAAATTTGCATTTATTTACATTTTACACTATGCTTTTATGTTTTGTAATTTTAGGTAACATAAAATATTTTTATGGCGATTATAATTTTCTTGCGTTTTCTTTTTACGTATGAAATAAGACAAAATAAATATGGCGATTTTTCTTACGTTCTCTTTTTACGTATGGCGATTATAAATTTTTGAAACTTTTCAGTTTCAAAAAATTCTGAAAATAAATACACATATACCAAGATATATAATGTACATGTGTGCAAATTTTCACTTCCAAATACATCGAAATGTGAGCTGCACAAAAAAGGCAAATCTGGAGTCTTTTAGCATATGTACTGTTCATCTATAAAGTCCATGCTTTTTGTTTTTTTGTACAGCTCTCAATTCAAAGTATTTCATCCTGAAATTTTTCACACATACACTTTACATCCTTGCATACATATGTATTTTTTCCAGAATTTTTTGAAACTGAAATTTATGAATTTTGAGTTATTCAAAATAAAGGGCTTCATGGAGCTCGATCTCTAAAATTTCCTACTTTTTATATAGACAATGGTCTAAAAAGATTTTTTCGAATACACGTCCAGTTTTACAATAGAACATCTATATACAGAACGTCTATAGTCTCTCTCCTAAATTTTAATATTATTTTGTAACTACCAATTCAGCAAATCCCTTTTCATATAACAGTAAATGTTCAAAATGCCAACAACGGCCCGCGCCTTCTCCATCTACTGCAAGCAGCCCCTGGGTTTGTCATCTGTCAAGCTTTTTCGTACTTCCTCCGTTCCATAATATAGTGTATCCGTGCTTTTTGAGATTCAAATTTAACTGTAAAGTCCCGATTACGGAGGGAGCAAAAATTACATTAAATTTGTATTTTTATTATGAATTCAGTGATATAATTTTTACTCCCGCTGTAATCTGTTTTGTTGGTTATATTTACGGTCAAACTTAAATTTTAGAAAGCATGGACGCACTACATTATGAAACGAAAAGAGTAGATAGCAACCGGTCGCCGTCGTATCCTTCTCATTCTTTTAATGCTTTTCAAAGAAAAAGATGACATCTGGAACGACTTTGTAGTATGTACTTGGTGTACGGGACATACGGATTACTATCAACGAGAGCACCGCCCAGATTACAGCCAGCGGCGTCCAAGATAAACGTGTTCGGCTGCTGGTCGTGCAACGGAATGGATTCTGTCCTATGATTCCGTGGTCGGTGCATTAGGTGGCCGTTGGCGGTTGGCTGCATGATAGATGATCAGATTAATTGGAGCCTACTGCCGTTTAGAGCATCTATAGTTGAATTTGACAAATTCGAAGTTGCAGTTGGATATCTCATATTAAATTATCAAATTCATATAAAGACATGCAAACTAAAAAACCTACGTACTACATCGATCACCTAGCTACTCGTCGTCGGATATGTCGATAATCTCCGTGCCCGGCTCCGGCAGCATGGGCGACAAGCCGACAGCTGCAGCTCCGGCTGCTTCGCTCCGGCCTCCTCCGCCTCTATCTCCATGTCGAGTTCGGCGAAAAGCGCGCCGGACTCCGCTTGCTTCCGCCGGAGGAATGCCCGGTTGGCCTCCACATAGGCCTCATTCTGGATGGAGTCCAGAATGGCCTACTGTTCGGCCATCTCGTCGGACTGGGCGACGGTGAACCCCGCCTCCGTTTGCTCCATGTTGAAGCCCGGCAGCTCCGGCTCTTGCTGCTCCGCCTCCTCCATCTTCATTGGAGCCATCTCCTCCTCCTCCTCATCTTCCCCGGCAGCTCCTCCTCCTACTCCTCCGGCTCCCGTGAGTCCGGAGGCAGCCAGGTAGCGATGCGGGCGGCGCGCGCGGCTTGCCTCGCCTGTATCTCTTGCTATATCTCGTGGCGACGCTCCGACGTCAGCATGGCGTAGTATAAGGATACGTTATCTTGCACCGGACCATGGCGGAGTGCCCGAGCATGGGCGGAGTGTCGGATCATGGGCAGAGCGCCAGAACGGGAGAGGGAGGAGGTGGATCAGCACGGACTGGTGGCGCAGAGAAGGGGAAATGGATGGGTTAGGGTTACGAGACGCCGGCCAGGTTAAATAGCCGGATTTGGGTTTAGGCGGTGAGCCGGAGCGGCGCCAGGCGGCGTTCACAGCGCGACGACGGACATGGCGTATGTCGGACTGCCGGGTTTTCGAACGTTTCCGCGTAGGATCCCGCTATCAGACCGACGTGACGGGCGTCCATTGGCGCGTCTGAGCGTCCCATATCCGCTTCATATTTGGGCTAGATATGAAGTGCCGGTCAGCTCGAACGTTTGAGGTCCATTTAAAAAGCTCATCTGAGTTAAAAAAAGGGTGTGTCTAGGGCACATCTAGATGTGCTTTAGTTATTGCACATCTAAATGAGTGAATCAATCATAAAGAGAAAAGAAAAAAAAAATTCACACGAATCTCAATGTACGATCAATGACATATGACTTAGATGTGCAATACTTATGGCACATTAGATATGGTTTAGCAAAACTGTTAAAAAAACCGTAACCGAACAGCGACCGGGCGGCCGCCCGGGCGAATCGGGTTTAAGGGCCGGGTGCAGTGTTCTTAGCTATAGCTTAGCTGCACCTGACCTGATCCCAGGCGTGGCCAGTATATATATCTCACCTGCACTCGACGAGCAACGAAGGGATCGGGGACATGGGAGGAGCTTCGCTGCTGCGTCTAGCGGCCGCCATGGTCCTCACCGGCTTGGTTTCTCCGCCTGTTGCAGTGGCGGCACGCGCGACGCCGCCACTGCCGGTGCTGCCGATCCCGACGGCGGCGCAGCTCGCGTGGCAGCGGCGGGAGGTGATCATGTTCTTCCACTTCGGGATGAACACGTTCACGAACTCCGAGCTGGGCACAGGGGAGGAGGACCCGGCCCTGTTCGGCCCCGCCGCGCTCAACGCCAGCCAGTGGATGGACGCGGCGGCCGCGGCAGGCGCGTCGCTCGCCATCCTGGTAGCCAAGCACCACGACGGCTTCTGCCTCTGGCCGTCCGCCTACACGGCCCACTCCGTGCGCGCCAGCGGCTGGCGCAGCGGCGCCGGCGACGTGGTGCGCGAGTTCGCCGCCGCGGCGCGCGCACGGGGCGTCGACGCCGGCCTCTACCTCTCGCCGTGGGACCTCCATGATCAGCGATACGGCCGCGAGGTCGCCTACAATGAGTACTACTTGGCGCAGCTCCACGAGCTCCTCACCGGGTCAGTGCCCTGAGCGCGTACGTGCACAGCACAGGTCGCATTCCATCCGACAGGTTTTCTCAATCTCAACCAGTACTCACGTCGTATTGAGTAGGTACGGGAGCTTGTCGGAGATCTGGTTCGACGGCCACAAGGACAAGAACGCGACGAACATGACGTACCACTTTCATGAGTGGTTTCAGATCGTGAGGCAGTTGCAGAGCTCTAGCATCATCTTCTCCGACGCCGGCCCCGACGTCCGGTGGGTCGGCAACGAGGACGGGTTCGTCGGAACCACGTGCTGGTCGACCGTCAACCGCTCCATGATAACGATCGGGGCGACCGGCATCGAGAAGTACATAGTAGCATGATATACTATCACGCATGCACGCTGCAAGGCCAAGCTAGACAGGAAACAAATAATCCTCTATTTCTCTCCTAAATTATGGCTCGGATTTTTAACCAGTAGACGCAGATTAGACTCGTTTAAACCTATATTAAGTTGTGCCTAAGTTACCATATCGTAACAGCATACATTCGGGTTTTTTAAACAAAAAATGCGGTTTGCTAAATATTAGGTGCCTGCAAAAAAAATCTAGCGCCAGTCACTTTTTATTATAGCGAGAATGGTGTGAGGAGCACCAGCGACGAGCGTCGGGCACGGCGAGACCGAGTCGTGTACTAGCGAGAGCCGCTGGAGCGAGTAAGAAACTTAACATGGGGTCGGAGGGTGCATGGGTCGTCGAGTCGTTCATCGAGACGGGCCTTAAGGATGGCCGGGCAGCGACTAGCATGGAGGTGGTGGGAGTGGGACATCGAAGGGAGGGCGGGGCGGCAAGGCCGCCGGCCGCGGGCAGCTACGTGAAGGAAGAAGATGAACAAGGCTAGGCGGGCTTAAGGAGGAAGATGAATTGATGGATATTGATTTGATGGTCAGTAAAGAATTAAATAGTGCCTACAGAATTTCAAAATATACAAAACCACATTGTGTATTGTAATTAATGGCTTGATTGGGTCCAAGATTTCAGCAAAATTTCTGGAAATTCGATGGGTATCGAAATACTTGTAATCGTGAAATTTCGTGTCAGAGTCAACCTGATTTCAAACCATATTTTAATTAGTTCAAAAATTATAGGAGTAAGAGCTAACTGGATTTTGATAGATCGAGTTGCGAAAGGATTCTCGAGATATTGTACAGTACGAGATACTACTAACTGTTAGAGCATGAAGTTGGGTAGTCCAATTAGGCCTACTATTTTGGACTACTGAACCCTGATGGATTATGTGTGTGCAGCTATCTGAACAACGGCGACCCGTGGGGGACGGAGTGGGTGCCGCCGGAGTGCGACGTGACGATCCGTCCTGGCTGGTTCTGGCACAAGAACGAGACGGCCAAGACGCTGAGCCAGCTGCTCGATATATACTACACCTCGGTGGGCCGGAACTGCGTGCTGCTGTTGAACGCGCCGCCCAACACCACGGGCCTGGTGGAGGACGCCGACATCGCCAGGCTCCGCGAGTTCCGTGCCGCCGTGACGCGCATCTTCGGCACGGACCTCGCCGATGGCAGCACGGCGAGGGCCAGCAGCGAGCGCGGCAGCGGATTCGCGGCGGGCAATGTGCTGGACGGCCGGGACGACACGTACTGGGCGCCGACGGCGGAGGACGAGTACTGGGTCGAGCTGCGGCGGCCGGCGAGAGCGCGAGCGCGCGCGTTCAACGTGGTGAGGATACAGGAGCACGTGGCGCTGGGGCAGCGGGTGGAGCGGCACGAGGTGTACGTGGACGGCCTGGCCGTGGCCCGCGGCACGACGGTGGGGAGCAAGCGGCTGCACCGGCTGGTCGGACCCGTCGTTGGCCGGACGGTCAAGATATGGTTCGCCGCGCGCCGTGGGCCTCCGCTAGTGTCGGCGGTGGGCCTGCATCTCGACCCTTTCGAAGCCAATCGTGCGCGCTGATCGAGTGGCTGGAGCTGACTCGCTGCGCTGGCCGCTGGAGTTGAATCACAACCACCATGCAGAGCGATGTGCTACTGCTACGTACTAGTGTACTACTAGCATCGTCCCCAGCGCCGATTACAGGTGACCGGAGACCAAAGTTACTTTGCACTCTTGAAAATGCCTTTTCAATGGTCCGACGTTAGTCATCGCTGGACACCGCAGACGAGGTGATGGACCAGGCATGATATTTGTCTTTTATTACTTTGTACCAACAAAAATGAAAGCCAAACTCATCTGAGCTAGAAATTTGTTTCAGTTTATGGAAGATAGTCGTGTGTTTATTGGATGTTTGGTGGATTTTGAATTTTCAGATGTTCACCCTCAAAAAATATCTCAAAGATGTCTTGGGTGTTCGGGTGCTCCCCCTGAATCTCTCCAAAGGTCAACCACATTTGTCAAAACTCCTCTTTTTGAAAGGTCGTCTTCAAAGTATCGAAATGTTTGTGCACAAATAGTCGAAAGTTGTTAGTTTTGTCATTTGATTTCTTCTTCATTGGACCAGGAGATGTGAGCATAACGCTCACCAGCCACCAAAGGATGTGTGCATGGCAAATAACGGGACAGTCGGTGGTTCATATTGCTGATTGTCCACGGATGTACTCCATAAGTCCATATAGCATGCGAAGATTGTCAAAAGTAACCACTTCATGTGCTCGAATTTTAGTAGCCCAAAAAAGAGATATCCAGTGTTATGGGAGTCTACTACAGGAAACAAAAAGGTGAAGCCGTCTTTTTACGTCTTGACTCCTCAAGCCATTATTGAACAATTTTTCGTCCTCACTTTGTGAGCTTACCACGAGAAAAAACTACAAACAGTTGAACTTGCACAATCTAGATTAACCTTGTAGGTTTTGAAAAGACGCATGAACCGCCAATCCCAATACATTGGGGACATATAATGGTTGAACGTGTTCGGAGGCACACCCTTAAATATAGCCTATTCAACCGTTGCTTCATTGTTTCACAAAGAGAAAAAACCAAGTGCTTTGTTGTCATGTTGTCGGGGAATAGGACCGGTTTACCGAAAAAGAAAGCAAGAAGATTGGAAACACGTAAATAGTCACTGATGAAACCAAACTCGATTCTATACTTGCCGCCACCGATGTCTTTTGATGCTATCAGAGGAGAAAAAGACGCGTTTCCTATTCGGCGGTTAACGCGTTGGATACTACTGTTTCTGTTAGCGAGTGCCAGTTGCTGGCGAGTGCGCATGCCGCATGGGATCAGTGCGTTAGGTGGGCCGGCCCATCTTGCTTTCCTTTTGAACGGCTTTAGGAAGCTTCCAGATGATCTTTTGTTTCTTTTCTTTGTTTCCCCTTTTCCTTTTCTCTTCTTAAATCGCAAGCATTTGACAAACAATTTATAAATTCATGTTTTTTTAAAATTCTGTGAACTTTATCAAATCTATGAACTTCAAAGTCATGATTTTTTTTCAATTTTGAGAACATTTTTAAAAATACATGAACATTTTTAAAATACGTGAAATTTGGAAACATTTTTCAAATTTGTGAGTTTTTTTCAACTCCATGAACATGCGGTCGACTGGTCAATCATTGACTGGACGAATGTAGCAGTTGATGGGCCAGCCCACGGTAGTAGGAGCTCTGCAAAAAAAGATGACACTTACAGAAGGGGGTTCATGGCCTACTCGGCAATGGGGCCGATCGGGCCTGGGCTAAGCCAAACCTCTGTGTAATAAAGCCTGGCCCAGGAACCGCTCTAAGCACGAGACAGGTCCCACGCATTCCACGGTGGACGAATCACGAAACGCAACGGCCACGCTTGCCGCAAAATATCTCCACCGCTTGGCCGGTGGTGCTCCACCTGTCAGCACCTCCGGCACACAACCTGTGGCCCCACCAGTCAGCGACGCACAGCCTAGGGTTTCATCCCCAGCGTCGTAACTACATAAACCTCTCGAGCCCGGACCTCTCTTCCCCCTCTTTTCCCGGCTGCGCATCCCTTGCCAGCCTCCCACCCTCCCCACCCCCGCCGCCGCCGCCCCCGCCCCGTCGATGCCTTCCATCGCCGCCATCCCCGAGCCCATGGCCGTCGACGACTCCGCCTCCAAGAAGGCCAAGCGCAAGCAGCTCAAGGCCGAGGCCGCGGCCGCGGCCGAGGCAGCCGCCGCCTCCTCCGGCAAGAAGGAGAAGAAGGAGAAGAAGGACAAGAAGCGGAAGACCAAGGAGCCGGCCTCCTCCGACGAGGAGGGCCGGAGCAGCACCAGCTCCGACTCGGACCGGGCGCCCTCCGCCAAGAAGGCTAAGAAGGAGAAGAAGGACAAAAAGGCCAAGGCCGAGCCGGCCGAGGAGCCGGCCAACGACGACGGGGAGCTCACCGCCAGCGGCGAGGAGGAGGAGCCCGCCGACCCCAACGCGCTCGCCAACTTCCGGATTTCCGACAAGCTCAAGGACAAGCTCAAGTCCAAGGGCATCAACGCGCTCTTCCCCATCCAGGCCACCACCTTCGCCCTCGTCCTCGATGGCAACGACCTCGTCGGCCGCGCGCGCACCGGACAGGTGACTGTTCACCGCTTCTCTGTCTCATTTGATTGGTTGATTTGTCATGTAATAGGAACTGGTTAGCTGGGTTGTAGTTTCACCTGTGTTTAGATTTAGTGACAAGCGTGCTTCGCGAATTTGACACGATCAATCCCATAATTTTTAAGAGAATAAATCTTTAATTTATTACCATGATCATTGTCAGAATTCCATGGATTATAAGAGAAGGGTTGTTCCTGTCTCGGAATTGCACGCCCTTTGTTCACATGGGACATTTTTATGTAGTTATACAGTTAATAGGAAAGTGTTAATATTTAACAGGCCATAAGGTCTGTGCAACATCGCTTGTAGTTATCGTTCTTGGTGTCCTGACCATAAAAACAACCATTTTGGGGGCCTAGGCATGAAGATCAGTTTGTGTTTGTGATTGTGTGATGTCAACTGAAAACATTTTGTTCATTTTAATTGTAGGGCAAAACGCTGGCTTTTGTTCTACCCATATTGGAATCATTGGTTAATGGGCCACACAAGGCAACGAGAAGGACTGATTACGGAAGGCCTCCAAGTGTTTTGGTTCTGCTACCAACCAGAGAGCTGGCCAATCAGGTATGAATTACCGTCTGATTCTCAAGAAAGATGGATCGTTCCTCTAAATCCTCTGTGATCTGACATTCCCAACAAATTTCAGGTGCATGCAGACTTCGAGTTTTATGGTGGAACGTTTGGGCTTTCTACATGCTGTGCTTATGGAGGTTCCCCCTACCGTCCTCAAGAGAATGCACTGAGACAGGGGGTCGACATTGTTGTTGGGACTCCTGGCCGTGTCAAGGTATTTCCCCCCTCTGTTTATCCTGGTTCATTTGCTCTATAGCTCTCTTAATTTTGTTCTAATACTCGCTGCATCACTTTCTTGCCCAGGATCTTATTGAAAAGCAAAAACTAAACTTGAGGTGCTTGAAATTCCGTGTCCTTGATGAGGCTGATGAAATGCTTAACATGGGGTTTAAGGACGATGTCGAGCTTATTCTTGGTATGTCTACATCCTTGTTATACTAGATGTTCATTCTACAAAGTTGTCTGTATGGTGTTACACAAGTGAATACATGACTTTGCATGCAACTTACTTGCCCAACTTAACCCAAATTCCTTTACTGTTTTAAACAGGCAAGGTTGAAGATGTTACAAAAGTACAGACACTTCTTTTCAGTGCTACTCTACCGGAGTGGGTAAAAAAGGTATGAACCACTTTGGCCAGATATGTTTCTTCTATTGATAATCTTCTTTTTGACAAGCATGTGAACTGACTATATTGTGGAATGATTGTAGCTCTCAATGAGCTTTCTGAAAGCTGACAGGAAGACAGTTGATCTTGTTGGCAACGAGAAAATGAAAGCTAGTGCGTCTGTTAAGCATCTTGCTCTTCCTTGCAACAAGGCTGCAAGGTCACAGATTATTCCAGACATCATAAAATGCTACAGCCAGTATGTATTTCTACCAAATGATCATCCTGTTGGCAGATAGACTAATGCAATTCTCACAAGTTCTTACTGTATATTTAATATTTGCTTTCAGTGGAGGGCGGACCATTATTTTCACCGAGACAAAAGAATCTGCATCTGAGCTCTCTAGTTTGATTCCTGGATCCCGTGCCCTGCATGGAGATATCGCACAAGCTCAACGTGAGGTAAGTGATTCTGTTTTGACCATGCTTGTGCCCAATGTGATTGAAGTGAACGTGCTGTTCTCTCTGCAATTATTTTTGTAACCAATACATTTATATTGAGCTCTATGAGAATATATTATTTATGTTATATATGCTAGTTGACTTGGATATTATAGTATTTCAGAGTCCTGATTCTAGTAATTTGCTTGTTCATCCATTTGTAATATGATTATAACTGCCAAACACATCAATTGAAGTGTACTGATTACCGGATGGTTATGCAGGTCGTCATTGCTGGATTTAGGAGTGGGAAGTTCCTCGTTTTAGTTGCTACAAATGTGGCAGCAAGAGGCCTTGACATTAATGATGTGCAGCTTATCATTCAGGTATGCCAATAACTGTAGTTGATTAACTTATCTGATAATTAGCTCCCTCACTGATCATATTCCAAATCTCTAGTGTGAACCTCCACGCGATGTTGAAGCCTACATACATCGGTCAGGTCGGACAGGGAGGGCTGGCAATACTGGCATTGCAGTCATGCTTTTTGAGCCCAGATATAAATTCGGTGTGACCAGAATAGAGAGGGAATCTGGGGTGAAGTTTGAACATATATCTGCACCGCAGCCTACTGACGTGGCACAATCTGCTGGCAATGAAGCAGCAGAGGCCATTGCAAGTGTGTCTGACAGGTAATGTATCATAACTAATTATAATATCTGGGACTAAACAGATTCCGTGTTACATTGAATTGTGCCATTAACTATGTGGGTGGATACATTGCAGTGTTATTCCTGTTTTCCGGCAACAAGCAGAGGAGCTGCTAAGCAACTCCAGCATGTCTGCAGTGGATCTACTAGCCAAAGCACTTGCAAAGGCAGTAGTAAGTCTGTTTGTAGTTCTATATTTGTTCTGATCATACTGGCTGTTAATGGGGTAATTAACAGAATGTACTTCTCTTAGGGCTACACTGACATAAAGAAGAGATCTTTGCTTTCATCTATGGAGAACCATACTACACTACACCTTCAAACTGGCCGACCGTTGTACACACCATCGTGAGTAACAGCTGCGCGTGCTGGTTTAGTGTCTTGTGTCTTGTTGGATGTTGGATTGATTCGAAAATGTATCTTGTGTGCAGGTTTGTTATTAGTACATTGAAAAGGTTCATGCCAGAAGATAGACTCTCAAGTTTACATGGTATAACCCTGACCACTGATGGGACAAGTGCTGTATTTGATGTTCCTTCAGCAGAGGTTCAAGACTACATTCAAGGTATATACGCTTTCTGTACTGTTTCACTTGTACAACTGTGATTTATATTTGACTGAATTTACATTTCAATGCATTTCACCTCTTTGTGCATTGGGTATTACAACCTCGCCTGCTAAAAAACTCTTGATGATTCCCTGCAGGCGCGGAGAACGTGGCCGGGGTGACAATTGATGAAGTGAAGCAACTGCCAGCCTTGCAAGAGAGGGAGCAGTCAAAGGGTAACTTCGGCGGGTCGAGGTTTGGCGGCCGTGGAGGCGGTGGAAGGAGGTTCGGTGGTGGCGGAGGTGGACGATTCGGTGGTGGCGGAAGAGGCAGGGGAGGCGGCGGTGGCAGGTTTAACAGGAGGTGAAGACCTAAAAACAGTATAATCTATTTTTGACGGGAGTTTGAGAGATGAAAGAAGGCACAGGGAATCGTCAAAGTTTTGACTGCGCCGTGTATCGGGTTTTTTGTTTTTACGTATTTGTTAAGTGTTCTGTCCCCCCAGATTATGACGATCAAGTTTGCCAACGGAAGAGTGTAAAATATTGATCTGATACTGATACTCAACCACTGTTATGAACGAATGAAGCTATGTGTGTTGTTTTGAGACAAACAGATTTAGTAATCAGCTCTTGCAAATCTATTTTTTGGTTGCTACTCTGTCTCCTGAAGTCCTGATATTCAGATGGAGCAAATGACATACTCCCTCGGTCTTATAATGTGTAAGACGCTTTTTGACACTAGTGTAAATTCATTCATTTTGCTTCGTATGTAGTCTCTTATTGCAATTTCTAAAAATACTTATATTTAGGAACAAGGAAGTAGTTGCTCATAGTAACAATCATGTAACGTGATTCAACATAATCAATTGTTTGGATCCATATAAAAAACGGTTTCGCTAAGCAAGTTCGAAACCTAACGGCATGGTTGTCGGAGTTGTTCCCTGGGATGAGGCTTAGAGAGGGCTTAGAGAGGGCGGCGGTTGATGAAGGGCGAGGCGACAAGGAGGCTATAGCAGTCGGCCACGAGGACGAAGGCAGGTGGTTAGGGCTGGGTATGTGGCGAGGAAGGAGGAACCGTTGTGGCAGAGGAGGAAGTAGATATGGGAGAAAGAAAATGAACGGGTAGCGGTGCGATTCTGACCGTTGGATCTTGATCCGATGGCCAGAATAGAAGTGACAGGCACGAATGATCTTTTTCAGGTACGTGCTTCCAGAAAAGAATGTTTGAAGTTGTGAATTTTGATCATATTTAACCGAAGGAATGAGAAGGATGTGGCTCTGTGTCATCATCGTATCGGTTACTTTTCTCTGCAATGCCGAACCGTGTATAAGTGGGAGCCAACAACAAAAGGAGGGGGTCGCCGAGTTTTTCTTTTTCGAGGGTACGCAAATTGCGTACCTTAGCTTTATAGAAGGAGAAAAATACAGCCATACAACCACATCTACCTCTCGCTGCGAACAGCGAGCGTAGCACAACTCCACACCCGACACAAGTAAGGAAACCACACACGACACACACTACGACAAACAGAGCCTACCCAAAACCGATATCCTCGCCGCGTCTTGACCGACGCCGGTGATCATCGAAGAACAGCAACTCCAGCTTCCCAGGAAGAGCCAGCGACGACCGTACATAGCGCCAGAGAAGAACGATTTGGGTAGCGGTGCACGCCGGAGGAGCGCAACATAGGGCCTCTTATCTCCAAGCACGAAGCTCCCAACAGAGAAACAACGTCAGAAAGACGCCGCCATCGTGCCGATCCTACGAATCAAGGCTTTCGCCCCGGAGATGGTTGCCGATACAAGGCACCGTGAACAATGGCGCTACACTCGGCGACGCCTCTAGGAAGGGGAATGACACCCACGGGTGCCATCGACGCCGGTCCGACCAAGACCGAACAGAATTTTCATCCGTAGCATTGCACATTTCCACGCCACCAAGCTCCCGGCCAGCCCCGAAAGATGCCTCACACCGCCAACACTGCAGCCACTTGCAGTCGGAGCCACACATCACTGCCGAGGAAGCACGCCTCAAGCCACCACCTTCAGCACACTAGGAACCGCAGCAACCACCAATCGATGTGGGGACCAGATCCGTCGCGATGGCCTTCACCCACACCTAGGGACTGCCACACAAATGGACCTGACACGCACCACCAGCCACACTTCGGCGCCAACTTCACAGAGGCATCACCGCCGGCACCTCACACGTAGGTGGTCGGGCGCCCGCTGCTCGCCAGACCCTGCCTAGCCGAGCCTCGCAGCGCCGCCGCCTCCATGGCTGCGCATGCGCTGCCGCCTCCGACGAAATCAGTGCACCACCCACATCCACTCACCCGCTGCACCCCTCGTGTAGATCCAGGGGACTACCGTCGAGCATCCCGCCGTGAACCAGCCTCCCGCAGCACCCGATCAGGAGCCATCCGACGCGCAAGATCTGGCCCGAGAGCCACGGATCCGCGCAAAGGAGGGCTGCCAGCCAGCCGACCCAACGCCGCCCAAGGGAGCCACCACGGCGCCACAGGCCGGACAAGGCCGCACCAAGCCGAGCAGGGCCGCGCCACGCCGCCCGGAGCGGGGCATCGCCGAACCCAAACGCCGCCGACACGCCCCGTGCCACCCGGAGCAAGGCCGCGCCACTCCGCCCAGACGGGAGCCACGCACGCGTCGAGCCTCGCCAGAGCCACCCCCGCCCGCCGCCGGCACGCGAACCACGCCGGCGTGAGGGCCTCCGCGCCAGATCTGGCGTCCCGCGCCGCCTAGTGCCTGGAGAGGAGGGGAGAATCCCCGCCGCCGCCGACCCGCCCGGGCTTAGCCCGGCGGCGTCCCTTGGCGGCGGCGAGGGAGTGGGGAGGCGGGGCGGGAGGGCTGGCGGCGGCGCGATTTAGGGTTCCTCCCGGGCCGCTCGCGAGAGCGGCACGGGGGAACGGGGGAAAGCTGGTCGCCGAGTTTTTCATCGCTACAGGGCTTAGAGGGATGGTTGTGGTGGTGGTTAGCACGGTGATGGGCGAAGATCGAGGGAAGCGTGGTACGGTAGATGGTTAGGGCTGGGTAGGCCGCGAGGAAGGAGGAACTGTGCGGGGAGGAGGAAGAATATGAACAGGTGGCGGCAATAGAAGTCACCGACACGAATTGTCCTTTTGAGGTACCTGACCTAGGTGCTTCCAAGAAAAAAGTTGCTTTGTGTCACTATATCGTATCGATGGTTCGCCGAACTGACACATGACGCAACAACAAATTATTTGGCGCACGCGCGGGACGGCCCGTCACATGACGTCGGTTGCGTAGGGGTCGAGGTGGAGGCCCACCGCCGACACCAGCGGCGGCCCGCGCCGCGCCGCGAACCATATCCTCACCGTCCGCCCGGCGACGGGGCAGGCCAGCCGGTGCAGCCGCTTGTGGCCCACCGTGGTGCCGCGGGCCACGGCCACGCCGTCCACGTACACCTCGTGCCGCTCCACCCGCTGCCCCAGCGCCACGTGCTCCTGCACCCGCACCACGTTGAACGCCCGCGCCCCCGCCGGCCGCCGCAGCTCGATCCAGTACCCGTTCCGCCACCCGTCCTCCGCCGTCGGCGCCCAGTACGTCTCCTCGCGCCCGTCCAGCACCTTCCCCGCCTCGAATCCGCCGCCGCGCTCGCTGCTGGCCCGCGCCCTGCTGCCCTCGGCCAGGTCCGTGCCGAAGATGCGCCTCACGGCGGCGCCGAACTCGCGCAGCCTGGCCATGTCGGCGCCGTCGATGAGGCCCGTGGCGTTGGGCGGCGCGTTCAGCAGCAGCACGCAGTTGCGGCCCACCGAGTTGTAGTAGATGTTGAGCAGCTGGCTCAGCGGCTTGGCCGTCTCGTTCCGGTGCCAGAACCAGCCCGGCCGGATCGACACGTCGCACTCCGGCGGCACCCACTCCGTGCCCCGCGGATCGCCCTCGTTCAGGTACCTGACAATCCGCTGTCAGTCAACAACAGAAGAGAGCAATTCTTTTGGTGGTGGTATCACGTTGTATGTATGTGTGTGCGCTACGTACTTCTCGATGCCGGCGCTGCCGATGGTTATGGAGGATCGGTTGACGGCGGACCAGCAGGTGGTGCCGGCGAAGCCGTTCTCGTCGCCGACCCACCGGATGTCGGGGCCGGCGTCGGAGAAGATGTTGATGGAGCCCTGCAGCTGCCTCACGGTGTCGAACCACTCCTGGAAATGGTACGTCATCTTGGTCGCGTTCGTCCCCTTGTTGCCGTCGAACCAGATCTCCCACACCTTCCCGTACCTACACATGCAACAATGATATGTCAGCAATGGCCGGCCGGGCCGACGATGTGTGGATGCACGTGCAAGCGCGTTCAGGCACTGACCGGGTGAGGAGCTCGTGGAGCTGGGCCATGTAGTACTCGTTGTACGCGACCTCTTGGCCGTAGCGGCGGTCGTGGAGGTCCCACGGCGAGAGGTAGAGGCCGGCGTCGACGCCCCGTGCGCGGGCCGCGGCCGTGAACTCACCGACGACGTCGCCGTTGCCGGCGTGCCAGGGGCTGGCGCGCACGGAGTGGGCGGTGTAGGCGGACGGCCAGAGGCAGAAGCCGTCGTGGTGCTTGGCGACGAGGATGGCGAGCGAGGCGCCGGCGGCCGCCGCCGCGTCCATCCACTGGTTGGCGTTGAGCGCGGCCGGGGCGAAGAGGGCCGGGTCCTCGGCCCCCGTGCCCCGCTCCACGTCCGTGAAGGTGTTCATCCCGAAGTGGAAGAACATGATGACCTCGCGCCGCTGCCACGCCAGCTGCGCCGCCGTCGGGATGGGCAGCATCGGCAGCGGCGGCGGCACGCTCGTTCCAGTCGCCGCCGACGCCGACACCAGGCCGGCGGCGAACACCAGGCAGTAGTAGCACAGCAGCGACATCGACGGACCTCCCCCCATGCCGTCTTTCTCTCCCTCCCCGGTGTCCACTGTCCCGTCCTACTCCTACATATACTGCCAACGCCGCGGGCTGTAACGGACGGGGGACTCCGGCGACGGGAGAGGGAGAAACGTGACACGGCGAATGCGGACACGCCAGTGGCGCGTGTGAACCTGAGCGAGTGAGGTTGGATTTTTACCCGAGTTTCAGTGGCTACGTACGCGCCCCGATCGACCCGGTACCCGACACCCTGATCGATCGCGCTCGATCCGGGTATCCAGTCCGTGTTACGGGACGAGGACGATCGGTCGGTCGCGCTGGGGCTCAGTAACTTGAGTTGCTTTCAGTGGGTGGCCGGCCGGTCCGATAACGCACAGGCCTGCATGCCGGCTGCCATTCTCGGCATCTTGCGGCAGGACGGGAATATTTGCTGCTGGAAGAAGCGCTCGGGAGGATGGGCCTGAAGCTCCAGAACGCTCCAAGTCG